AAGAAAACGTAGACGAAGTGAATTATGGTTTAATTTATAAACTAAATGCCCTACCTAAGAGACCATAGTATTTTTTTCAATCTGCAAAAACACATACACACACACACATAAATAAATATATAAATATATATATACCACCCACTCTTGTTGCTTCAGCAACTGTCGGGTGCGTCCTCCTGCGTTGGCGAACAAGTATTTCGTTGATGTTGATATCTTTCTACACGCGACATAAATGGTTATATTTAATACCTCAATAACACACACACACATACACAAATATAAACATATATATAGTATATAATAAAGATGTAATATTAATGAGTAAAATGATACTTGAGCAACGATTACACAGAACAACGTTGAAAATCAATTTCTATTATTTATTTCTCATTTTATTTTCATTGTATTACTTTTTTTTGGTTGTAACAATAAATAATATTTTAAATAAAATAAAATGGAAAGAGAAATGAAAAAGAATTGATTGAAAATGTATAAGGGTGGTGAGAGAGAGAGAGAGAGAGAGAGAGAGTGGGGTCAATGAATCTTAAATGAATTTAACGATACGATTTATTGTATGTTGCTTCACCCCAACCCCCTCTTCTACCACCTCCTATCTTTCTTTCTTTCTTTATTTCTTTTCAACACACAGACAGGGCTTTGCTTTTCCTCTACGTCGATACTCTTTTATCTTCTACATCACGCATTCGAAAGGATATTACATGAACGTTGGGAGCCTATCAATCAACTTGTCCCAAGGACAACCAATTTTAATTTAAAAATATCCTGATTCTTTAATAATTTTGATACCCTATAAGGATATCAATAAAAATAGTTTAGATATATATATATGTATATATTTATAATAATATTAAATTATATTTTTAATACTTTATATATATATATATATATATTAGGTCATTAAATATGAAAAGTCTGATTTCGAGATGAAAATAATCCGAGTAATCAGACATTTCATAGTTAATAACCTAATATATATATAGTATTAAATATAATTTAATATTGAGTGTATTTGCTTAATTTGTAATATTGATATATTACAAATTAAATACTATGATAATATATTAAATTATATATTACAAATTAAAATATTAATATTATATTATATTTAATTAATTATAATTCAAATATAACACAAATAAATAATTACAAAAATATATAAATTATTAAATATAATTTAATATTATATTTAATTAATTTGTAATATTAATATATTACAAATTAAATACTATAATAATATATTAAATAATATATTAAAAATTAAAATATTAATATTATATTATATTTAATTAATTATAATTCAAATATAACACAAATGCAATTACAAAATTGTACAAAAAGTATTAAATATAATTTAATATTATATTTAATTAATTTGTAATATTAATATTATATTTTAATTTAAATATAATTTAAATATTTTTATAAATACCGTATAAGAATATTAAAACTATGTATAATATATATATATACCTATATATACAGTACATTAAAAGTACAGTACATATTTCCTTTTTTACATATAATTTAATATTATATTTAATAAATTTATAATATATTAATATTATATTTAATTAAATGATAATTAAAATACAACACAAATGCAATCAAAAAAATTTCTTACGATATCTACGATATCAAAAGATGTATTTTGTATATTTGAAATTGTATGATTAAAATTTCTCTTTCTCTTTCTTTTTCTTTATTCTTTATTCTTCTTTTTTTTTTTTTTTGTACATTTACTTTTCACGAGTTTCATTCTACGAAATAAATATAGTACCGTCTGCTCGTGTAGAGGTCACATTTTAACTGGTATCGACCCCTTCTGGAAATTACTCGTCTAGGGACTAGACAGTCCTTATACACGCGATTAGTCAGTCGATAAAAAGTCCTATCTCTCTCTTTTTCTACCTTACATACATATACATATATATACATACACATATACACATATATTTTGCTTCGTCATCTTTGCATATCCCCAACAAGATTTTATTAACATGTTGAACGTCATGTCAGTCGTAAGTGACTGACAATGAACTTCACGTTCAAGCCATGTCAGTCATCGGCGACTGACACTCAACTATTTTTTCAATACAAAATAAAACCTGTGGCCTGAGAAAAATTTTCCTAAGAATTTGCATGACGCAAATGTTAATAAAAAATATCCTGCTGTACTACGCTAATGAATCATAGATTTAAATTGAATATTATTAACAAAATTGAAATGAAATAATATAATTATTAGGATGAATAATTAGAAAACATAAAGGAAAAGAAAATTGTGTGGTGTCGTTAAACTTTTGGTGTCGACCATGGGCCAATGACCAGTCATTTCCCGACAGATAAACGTACGTTAGGTTAAAAGATAACTTCATACTAGGTTCATCCTGCCTAAGAAGAGTGGGTGCTACCGGAAGTTGAGGACCGGAGGCTACAGTGGCGCCATCGTGTCATTTCTTAACATTGTCTTTCACTTTTCCTTTTATATTTTTCTCCTTTTTTTAACATCATTTTTTTTCCTTTCATAGAAATTCTTCCAACGAATTCTTGGGATTTTATTTTAAGGACGTACTTTGACTTTTCTCTTATTTTACGAAGAAAAAGAAAAATGAAGGATATTAATAAAAAAAAAAAAAAATATTAAAAAATAAAATGAAACGAATTTTTCTTTTAAGAAAAGATAAAAGAAAAGAATGTCATTTATTACAAGGACAAATTTTTAACAATCTTTGAGTGCTCTTGTTAGCTATGGTCTAACCTATGGTTAACATTTTATCAAGCTTGTAATAAATGGGTCTTTATGTATGTATGAGTATTTAATATATATATGTATGAATCATTCATTCAACAGTTAGATCACAACTATCTAAGTTCTATAAAAAAAAAAAACTTGTAATTATGTTTTTAATCAATGATGTAAATTCAAATGAAATTAATTGAATCCTCCATATTTGTTTCAACGACTTTTTCTAACTCGATCGATAAATTAAATCTTTAAATACAATTTTTTTTTAATAAAAGATTACAAATTCATGTAATTATTAATTAATTGTTATTATTAGTATTATTATTATTATTAAAAATGAATATATATGTATAAAAAAAAAGAAGAGAGAGAATATTTAGATAAAGAACAATGATATAAAAGTATCAAAATGATTCATACATGCAGTCGCGACGAAACACCGGAAGTTAGTGATTGTTTCGAAGTGTGGTGACCTCTGTAGCCTTGACTGACGTGGGTCAATCGCCTTTTTACCAATTAATCCGATCTCACAGTCATCATTATTCAAAAAAAAAAAGAAAAAAATAACAACAAGGCCACAACTAATCGAACGAGAACTATGACGATGAAAAAAAAAAAAAACAATTTCATTTAAGCATACATTTAATTCATCATATCAAAATGAATGATAAAATTAAGATCAATTTCAAATGCAAATTTTAAACTATCATAGAATGCCATCTGGTGATAGCGTCATGTAATCATTTTTAATTTTAAATTAGAAATTTTTTCTAATGTAAAAACACCAAATTTTTAAATGTAAATCGATCGATACAAACAAAAATATTTAATTAAATTTGAAATTTGAAATATAAAAAATAAAAATGTAATTGTTCATATTTAGAAATTGTTTGTTTGGTACAATTTTTTTATTAAATATTTTCCTTTTTTTGTTTTTAGTTCTAACCTTAGAACGTTCTCATTTTTATCGACTGAGAGAAATTCCTAGAATTAAGGAATCTACTGTTATCGATAGTTACAAAGTTTCAATTTATGATAATAAATAATAAATAATACAAATAAATGTTATAAATTAGAACAAAATGAATGAAAATTATAATAAAAATTCTTATATTTAATTAAAAGTTTCTTTTTTATCATTTTTCAATAGTTCTCTACATTACCAACAATTGAAAAGTGGTATCTAAATATCATTTGTTATATTTTATTATAAAAATTTATTATTTAAATTAATTAACATTTTTTAAAAAATATCTTTTTTATATTTTTTATAATAAATTTATTTAATATTCGAATTATTTAAATTATAATAAAAATATTAATAATATAAATATAATGAGATTCGTTTTGTTTATAAATGAATAAAAAAAAAAACAAGAAAATAATTATATTCATAATATTGTTAACATAACACTTATCTTATTTTTAATATAAAAAAAAATCGAATATCAATTAATTTCATTTTTTAACTTTCAAAATTACTGAAATATATTTCTTGTAATTTTTTTTTTTTCATTCCAATTTCAATGATTGTAATTTATAGACAAGTGGTCCCCTAACAAAATTCACACAAACTCATTAATACAAAATAAAATAAAATAAAATATAAAATTAAAATAAAATACATTGAAATTCCAAGTATATTACTCATAAATCAAACATACATTCACATACAAAAAAAAAAAAATCATTTATGTGCAAACAATGCAAAATAAATCTAATCGAAAGGAATTCTTCTTCTTCTTGTACTCTCACCTTATCAATAAAGTCAATCTTTTAAATGAAAGCACTCAAAAGTATTTAATAAAGAACCTCCTATATATTAAAATATTGATTTTTAAATATAAAAATTGAAAAGATAACAAGAAGATAAGATAAAAATTATGTATACACTAACCAGTCATTTTTCATCAAATACCAAACATCAATTGGATGATCCAATATCAAATAAAGCAAAAAAATAAAACATAAACCAAGTGATAGTCTATAAAATATGATTATTAAAATGTATATATGATTTATGACATGGGGGTAGGGATAGGGGTAACATGGAGGGGATATTAAAAGGTAAAATCAAACATAAGAAAAGTCAAATCAAACATACGAAGAATGTATTTGAATAAAATGAAGAGAAAAAGGTATAGAAAGAAGAGAGAGGGAGTGAAAAAGAGAAGACACCCGGTATATAAAAGTTGGCTGGCCGGCTGGCGAGCCCCAGTGCACAAATGGGATAGGTAACTGATTCTCTCTCTGATCTAGTGGTGTAAGATCCCTCCTGGTGAGAACGTGCCAAGCCTTTGCAACGACGTCTACGTTTTTTTTTTCTCAAATTTTATTTCATACCCAAAGGAAAAAACAAATCTAAATAAAAACCAATAATAACCCAAGAAGAAAAAGAAGTCAAACTTTCAAACCCTTAATACTTCTTCTTTAAAAGGGATCATCAACATAACGTAATGCTAAAAAAAAAAACAGATAAATAAAAGAAAGATAAGTTCATAAGGGTTTAAGGACAAGGAACAACAGGTGGTGTTCACTGGTAAGTTTGTTTGTCTTTTTTTTTTCATCATTTTCATCATTTCAATCATTTCTTTATGATTGTTTATCATGTAAGTATTTGATAATCCAATTGTATGAGTAACAATTTTTGAAGATAATCATCAAATAATAAAAAGTTATTAACATTTATATTTATATTTGTTTTTTATCTATTCATGTAAATCAGATTGTTGGATTGTTAAACACCTGTTGTTGTTGTGTGTGTGTGTGTGTGTGTGTGTGTTAGTTTGATTTTTTTATTAATTTTTTTTATTAAATGTATAATTGTATGATTGTATGATTGTATGATTGAAGTTGGTAGTAAGTTATGTAATTAATGTTTAATAACAGAATTTAATATGCAAAATGATAGATTTTCAATAATAATAGTACTGTAATAATTATTAAACAACTAAGATATAATTTATATTTGTTACTAAAGAATTCAATAGAATGAAGAACGTGTCACAGTTCAGGAAACACTGTATAATCACGTGTCGACATTATACAAACGTGTTTAACTCTACCTATACATAAATACTAACACCTTTTATGCATTTATACTTTTATTAACTTTTATAATATTCTTTTTTCATACGTTGTATTATCAATTTTAGAAAGAGATAATATATGTCCTGTCATAGAATTTATTTTATCTAATTGTATGTATGAATGTGTTCTGTTATGGTTTCTCTTCTATTATCTCATTAGTGTCCTGTAAGCATAATTCTTAAACGACTTAGAAATTCAACATACATACATACAAACATTTCTAACTCAATATTATTTATTATTTATTATTTGGAAATGTATTATTAAGAAATGAAAATAAATAAATAAACAAATAAATGAATAAATAATATTGTACAACAATTATTTATAAAGTATGCAATTTTATGATTGTATATGTTATTTATTTATTTATATTAGAATTAAATGTTTCGTGTGAATAATGTTTTATTATTAAATATACTACTATAATAAAAAAAAAATTTTTGTATTTTAATTATGAAAATATATTTATATAAATTATAAACTTAATAAAAATTATAAATAAACTTATAATTTATTATTTATAATTTATTATTAATTGTAATATGTTATACAAATTTATTTATTAATTAAAAAATAAATGTATAATTTATTAAGTAGTATATTAAATTTAATTTATTAATAAATTAATAAATATATTTATAAATTAAAAATAAATTTATATTTTACTAATATTATTTTAATAATATTAATAATATTATAATTATATATAATATTATATATAATTTATTAATATTATAAATAAATTTTATTATTTTTTATATATATAATAAAAGAATTATTTATGATCAATTTAATTAAAAAATAGAAAGAAATAAACTGTGCACGAATTAGAATAAATAATGAATTCTAATTTAAGAATGAAAACTATAAACCATTTTGCTTATCCTGAGGATTTCCTATATGCAATTTGGTTTAAATACAAAAAAAAAAAAAAAATCCTTTGTGTATACTTTGGCTTCGTCAAATCGATTGGCACTTGACCAAGAACAATATTACTAATGGCTTTCATCGGTCGTCTCTGCGGTAAATTTTCAATTTTCCTTTCGAATACTATTAACGAGGGGGAAAGAGGGGGGAAAATAAGGTTTTCTTGTTGGTTAAATAGAATTTCTATGACCTCGATTATAGGATGATTTTTTGGAATGGGTAGAGAGATTAGGGTTATCTTTAATATTAATCATATTTTATGTCAGTAAGTTTATGTCATGTGTATCAACACACATGTATGCGTGTGTGTGTGTGTTTGTGCATGCATGATGTGTATTTTCATTAGTAATATTTTTTTTGAATAATGTTTGATTTTATTGAATAATTTATTTTTGATTTATCATTATGAATAATTTCATTTATTATTATTATTATTAATTGAATTATTTATAAACACATTGAATTGAATTAATAAATAAAATTAATTAATTAATTAAATAATACAAAATAAATCTGATTTTATAATTAAATACAAAAATAAAATTTCATTAGAGTCTAGAATAAAAAATGAATTAATAAATTAATTAAACAATAAAAAAATAAATTTAATTGAATATTTAAATATATATCATAAACAACAACATTTCATAAAAATCTATAATAAAAATAAAAAAAATAAATAAACTAAATAATAAAAAAAAAAAAATTTAATTTTATAATTAAATACAGAAATAAAATTTCATTAGAATCTAGAATAAAAAATAAATTTAAACAAAATAAAAAATAAATGTAATTTTATAATTAAATACAAACAACAACATTTCATTAGAATCTCCAATAAACAATAAAAAATAAATAAAATTGAACAAAACAAAATAAAATATAAATTAAATTTTATAATTAAATAAAACAAAATTTTATTAGAATTTCCAATCAAAAAATTAGCAATTAAATTAAATGATATGTATGTGTATGTGGTGTGTATGTGGTGTGTATATGTGTATATATATATATATATTTGAATGAATGAGAATGAGAGAGAAAGAGAGAGAAAAAAAAGACCCTAAACATACTCTCTGCAGGGTCTCGTCGACAATATCGGCTTCCTGGCACGGTGCCCTCCTACGAGAGCATACTTCCCTTCCCAAAGTATCAAATCGTTTCCTCGTATCGTATCGTACACGTGCATCAACTTGGTGCTCTTAATTTCTTCACATAAGCATCTCACTATTATTATTATTATTATTATTATTATTATTATTATTATTATTATTACTATTATCATTATTATTATTAGATGCTAACAAATCCAAATACATTCAAATACATTTTTTATTACAAAAATAACTTTCATTTTCAATAATATTAATAATAATAATAGTAATATAAGATGTCATTTGTGATTTCAATCTAATCTAAATTTGTATAATCAAA